CAGCAGCACCCAAGTAAAGCCTGCAGGCAGAGCACGTGCCGAGTTCACCTACCACGACCACGCCGTAGTGAATGTGCGCCAGGGTGAGGAAAGCAGTTAAGGAGTAGAGGAGAAGCGTTTCGCTGTTCGGCGCGAACCCGGACATCACCACGAGGAGCACCGCCGCTATGGGGAGCAGCATCCAGTTCAGAGGCTGGCAGCGCGTGCTGCTCATTTGACAGACGATCAGTTGGCACTGCAGGGAGAGAAAGCTGTCAGAGCTTGCACCCGGTAGCGACTCTGCAAGCCCAGAGCCGTCCATGGCGCAGAGAGGACGGTCACACGTGTACGCGTACCAATCACCTGCGCTTAGAGCTACCATCACACAATTTCCCTGAATTTCCCGCTCAGAATCTTTCTTTGCATTAGAATTCCTGTGGGACACACAGAGCAAAGCCCCGTGGCGCAGGAAGGTAACAGGGAAACAGGCATCGAGGGCATCTTTAAAAGAAAAAGGAGTTCCCTCGAGCTGTATCTGCACGATCAGCAGAAAATCCTGCCAAGCAGCAGCGTGAGCTGCTGGACTCAGGGCACGGACATGCAGAGCTGCTCAGCCACGTGTCTGAGGCGATGAGCACGGGTGCCTTTGTTAAGGTCTCAAGCAAGCACAGATGCAATATGCAGCTAAACGGGATTTTGACAAAAGCTTTAGTCCCCCACATTTTAAGTTTATCCCAAAAAAAGGAAGGAGGAACTCCTTTCGTATTAGCAGTTGGCTAGTCACAACACAGAGGATGCATGCGTGTGTAAACACGCTCAATTTAACTAATTGTCTAGTTTCTCAAGAGTGAGAGCTGCAGCACAAAAGTCGCAGCCCCCAAACCCTGTCTACTTTCCTGTTCGTTCTTTCAGTCATAGAAAAATAGAAAAGCTGTTAAGTTTAATCTTCACACCTCCCTTCTCCCCTCACATCTGAGCTGGTCTTTCTTCTTGCCTCCCAAGCGTCCTGGCAGGCTTCACACTCCCCAGGGGATAAAGTGGAGCATAAAGCAAAAGCTGCTTACAGAAATGTTAGCAAAGGCTGTTCCAACCATGAAGTAGAAGAGCCTGGGATGGACCTCCAGGATGTCCATCGGGGACATGAAGATCCACGTGGTGCAGAGCAGGAACAGCAACACTGGGGATACCAGCGGCAGCATGATTTCATACACAGAGTGGTGCTTCAAGGTGTTGTTTTTATAGGCCCTGAAACACAAGCGAAGAAATGAAAACAGAACCACAGCTGAGAAATGCCTGGTCCCTGCCTTCAGGAGAGGGCTGCAGAAAATCTCATTGGCCATTCTGCTACTCAGAACTGCTGCTATCAGTCGTAACCACAGTCAGATGAGGAAGATGAAGACTTTTGTCCTGGTTTCAGCTGGGATAGAGTTAATTTTC